AACTAATTTACACTCCCACCAACTGTGTAAGAGTGCTCCAATTTCTCCACATCCTCTCCAGCATCTGTTGTCTCCAGATTTTTTAATGATCGCCATTCTAACTGGCATGAGATGATATCTCAGTGTGGTTTTGATTTGCATTTCTCTAATGACCAGTGATGAAGAGCATTTTTTCATGTTTTTTGGCCTCATATATGTCCTCTTTTGAAAAGTGTTTGTTCATATCCTTTGTCCACTTTTGAATGGGGTTGTTTTTTTCTTGTATATCTGTTTTAGTTCTTTGTAGATTCTTATTAGCTCTTTGTCAGATGGGTAGATTGCAAAATTTTTTTTCCATTCTGTTGGTTGTCAGTTCACTCTATTGATGGTTTGTTTTGCTGTACAGAAGCTCTGGAGTTTAATTAGCAATGGGGTAAGGACTCCATGTTTAATAAATGGTGTTGGGAAAACTGGCTAGCAATGTGCGGAAAGCAGAAACTGGACCCCTACCTGTCACCTTACACTAAAGTTAACTCCAGATGGATCAAAGATTTAAACATAAAACCTAACACCATAAAAACACTAGAAGAAAACACAGGCAAAACCATCCAGGACATAGGCATAGGCAAGGACTTCATGACTAAAACACCAAAAGCAATGGCAATAAAAACCAGGATAGACAAATGGGTCTTGTTTTTTAATCAGTTCAGCCAGTCTATATCTTTTAAATGGAAATTGAAATTAGTTTACATTCTGGGTTATTATTGAAAGGTGAAGACTTATTCTTGTCATTTTATTAGTTGTTGTTTTGGTTAGTGTGTATACTCTTTGTGTCTTTTTGTTTGTTTATCTTTGAAGTTTGGTGTTTTTCTGTAGTAACAAGGTTTGATTCCTTTTTCATTAAGATTTGTGTATCTGCTCTACCAGTGGGTTTTATATGTTTTCACAATGCTAGTTATTGTCCTTTTGCTTCCAGATATTGGACTTAAAAGCATTTCTTGAGTGTCAAGTCTAGTGATGGTGAATTCTCTCAGGTTTCACTTGTCAGGGAAACACTTGATTTCTGAAGGATAGTTTCTCTGGATATAGTATTATTGGTCAAAAGTTTTATTTTTTTTTTCTTTCAGCTCTTTGAATATATCAACATATTCTCTTCTGGCCGTTAAGGTTTCTGCTGAGAAATATGCTGATTTCTAATGGAGATTCCCTTATATGTGACTTGACACTTTTCTCTATTTTTAAAAATTCTATCTTTGTCTTTGACTTTTGACAGTTTGACTATAATGTACCTCAGAGAAGAACTTCCTAGGTTGAAACTGTTTGGGGGACATTCGACCATCCTGGATCTGGATGTCTCTTCAAAAACTTAGAAGTTTTCTGTTATTATTTTATTAAATATGTTTTCTGTGCCTTTTTCCATCTCTTCTCCTTCTTAAATTCCCATAATTACAACATTTGTATGTGTAATGAGCTTTCCTGGATTCTTTGGTTTCTTTCTTTCTTTTTCTTTCTCCTTCCTTCCTTTCTTCTTATCTATGTATCTTTATCTTTCTCTCTTTTATCTTTCTCTTTTGTCTGACATGGTTATTTGAAAACACTGGCTTCAGGTTTAGAGATTCTTTTTTTCTGTTAAATCTAGTTTGTTATCAATGCTCTGAATTGCATTTTTTTTCCATTCATTGAATTATTCAGCTCCAAGGTTTCTGTTTGGTTCTTTTTTTTTTTATGAGATCTATCTTTTTGTTGAATTTCTCATTCAGATAATGAATTGCTTTTCTGATCTTATTGTGTCTTGCTGAGTTTCCTTAATAACATTATTGTGAATTGCTTTTCAGGCAATTTCTACATTTCTATTTCTTTGGGACCAGTTGCTGGAGAACTGTTGTGTTCCTTTAACAGTGAGATATTTTCTTGCTTGTGTTCCTTTAACAGTGAGATATTTTCTTGCTTTTTCATGTTTTTTGAATCCCTACATTGATATATTCAGATCTTATGAAACAATTGCCTCTTCCAGTTTTGTAAAGTGACTTTCACGGGGAAAGACTCACCTGCAGATATGTCCCAGGGTGTCAGTTGGGTAGGATGCATTAGCCTTGTACTAAATAGGTACAAAGCATAGTCTCAAAAATTTCTTCAGCTACAGTCAATGTCATTGCTGCCTGAGAGTGTCTCAGTTGCTTAGGCTGCAGAAGTTTGTATGGTAGGTCTACATATGTGGGGTCTGCTCCCTTGAGAATGAGGGAACTGGCTATGCTATTATGGGTAGGGAACCAGGATCATCTGTAATCTGGGGAAAGTGCAGGGCTGGTTGGTCAGCCAGCATCACTTCTCAGGTTCTGCCCCCTTGAGGACAGGATTCCAGGCTTGTCTTGACTCTGGGGAAGCAAGGGGCTGGTCAGCCAGCAGCTCAGCTTATATGCTGGTTGCTTCCCTTGAAATTTTGCTTTTTAGTGTAGTTAATTTTCTTTGCAGCAAATATAGTAAACCTAGGTAATATTTTTGAGGCTAAAAGCTGTGATTTATTAATCTGGGTATCTTCAGTGAATAGCACAATGTGTAGTACATAGTAGATGCTCAATTAATATTTACTCAATCTGAATCTCTTAGGAGTATTTGAGGTTTATTACAGGATCTAATAGCTGTTCTATTTTGGTATTTCAGTTATTTTCTTTCACTTCTCTCTTGCTGTTTAATTTCCTTTTTTTCTTTTTCTTTTTAATTTTCCTTTGCCTTCCTGCTTTCTTTATTGAGATATATATCACTCTTTCTTTGTCTGATCAGCTAACTTTAAAAGTATATCTAATTTTACCTTACAAGATGTTATAAACATCAATAATACTCTTTCTAACTAAACTGTTAACTGTAGATGTACATTTAGAGTAGAGACAAGTTTTCATTTCCCTTTTCTCAATCTACCTGTACATTGATTTTCTAAAAAATTGATTACTAGACCTTGTACCCATGGCTGGAATATGAATTTAGTTCAATGTTCTGAAACCTCTTTGTGCTCCTCTTCTATTTTTTGAGACAAGGTTTCTCTATGTTGCTCAGACTGGTCTCCAACTCCTGAGCTCAAACAGTCCTCCTGCCTTAGTCTCCCAGAATAGCTGGAACTACAGGGGGACACCATCGTTCTCTCTTCCCTTCTTTTAACTTTTATAATTTAAGTTTTAACAATTATGCTTATTATTCTTATAAACAAGAAGCCTTTTATAGATATGTTTTCTTACATATTTTATTTTTTAACATATTATTATGTTATGATTTTCACTAATTATTTCCAATAATATTCCCAGTTGAGAATGTCTTTGAAATGTATCTTTCAATGGTTTGGCTAGTGTATCTAGTATAATTTTGTAGAGAAAAAATAATTGATTAGTAAATGTTTAAAGATGTTTCAGACCTGAAAATAGGAGTTTTATCCAAGTAATGATATATGAATACAAAGAAATGATTTTTATGCAATTAATAAATTAATATTTATGAAGCTGCAGCTTTCTTTCTTGTTTGGGTATCTGGAATTATTTGTTTCCTTGTAATTTAAAAATGTTTTGAGGTCATGTGTTTCAGTCACTTCCCAGTATTTCAGGAAAATGTGTTCAAGAACCCACAAAATAAATGAAGGAGACTTCATTTTGAGTCTTGTTTTCATTATTGATATGTGACTAAGGATGTATCTATTTAATTTTTATTCTCCCTATCTATAAGAGTAAACTTATGGTGACTGACCTCTTCTTTTTCACTTGTGATATTCTATGTTTTCTGCAATGTACACCCCATGTACCTTTTTGATTTATGGCTTCAAATTTTTGGGTTCTACTATTGTATTTTGATGATTGATTTTGTGCTTTTGTGCTATTGTTGTGTCTTAAGAAATTCCCTTTTTCAAAGTAGATTGGATTTCTCTGCTCTGTTCTCTAGATCCTCATTTTACTTAATACCTTCTTAGTTCTTCATAATTTTAGATATATTTTCATGTTAATCTTGAGTTGTTTTGGTTTCTGCATTCTCGTTGGGAAAGATAATTTAACAATTAACATTTTCTAGTATCTCATTACTTTGGTATTTGTGTTGCTAAGTTTTCATGAGACACATATCATCTTCAGCTTCCTCATTTTTCCACAAACTACAATTTTTATATTGACACTAAAAAATTTTAATGATATTTAAGGAGAAGAGTGCTACTCTGTTGAATTCCTGTAATCATGGGAAAATTTTTTCCTCTCACATTCTTAAATGTGGTTGCTATCCCTTTCTAGTATACCCCCAAAACAAAACAGTGTTTAATATTCAAAACTGATCATGCAGAGAGAATGCCTGCTACAGAACCTAGAAATCTTTGATCATATATTTCAGTTAAGGTAGTTAGTGATTCTCAGTAGTGTTCAGTACATGGATGCTGGGAACAGTGTCAGATACTGATTTGCGCATCATCAGACATAGTCCCTGAAACTCAGTAGACTCTGTATATATGTACTGAATGAAGAAGTGACTGCATTCTGCAAAATATTAGCAATCTCTTATATAATATTCCTTATAAATTATAAAATTCCCTATAAGTAATTATATGTTGCAAAGATATAATAATCATTTTAATCCTTATAACAGATAAGAAAGCAGGGCCCTGTTGTGGAAATATTTTAGAAAATTTAATTTGTGTAGTAGGATTTTATTTTTATTGTAGCATTTCTCAGAGCCGTTAATATTCATTATTAACTTCTGAGATGTGGATATCGCTTGCAGCCGTTCCCAAACTTATTTGCCAATGAGTTCCATTTATTTTTTGAAAGCCTAATTCCATGTCTAGAAGAACTCTAGTTTCCTTCAGAACAAGTGTGGCTCCACTCAACCTCCAGACTTAACTTACCGAATAATCTTTTAATTTAAACTCCATAGAAAGATTCTTTTTACAAACATACTAGAGATTATTTTGACTTCTCACAATTTTTTCCCATCAAGATGGTAATAAGTTGTCATTGTTGTTCATGCTGTATAATGATTTGGATTAATATTTCTTTTAGGCAAGCTACCAGAGACAATACAGGGATGAGACTCTGTCCCAGAGTGCTGTGCAGGTGTTGGTAGGTGCAGCAGGAAGTGTTGGTGAGAAGAAGGGAGAGTAAGTATATTGTCAAGAGATGGCTTCTATTCTAAGCCACTGCATTTAGGAAATTACCCAAGTGAGTTTTCTTGTTTTTGTCTGGTAACTTGGCTTCCTCTCGTATTACATGGGCAAGTTGCTGCCTTCCCTGCACCCCACCCTCAAGGCAAACCACCGATTTTCGATTTTCGGTATCCCAAACTTGCTGCATTCATTCATTCCTCTGTGATTTTGAACAAGCTGTTTCTTCTGACTGATACTTTCTTTTGTTCTTATCCTCCTCCTGCCAAAAGTTAAGCTGTTGTAAACAACTCTTCCTTTTAGACAAGTTGAATGCCAGACTAAGTCAGGGTGAAGTCTTCCTTAATCCCTCCAGGCACATCTTCCCCAATGCATGGGAAACACTTCATCATTCTCTCTTAATATTCAGCATACATTTGTAATCTTGTAGTGATTTCTTTAGATAAAGGGCTCCAAAATAAGCAGTGAGTTCCTCAAAGTCAGTGTTTTGGGGAATACACTCAGATCATCCCCTATGGAGGAATGCCAGATCTATGATTGGGCAAAGAGAGGGGTTAAATTGCGATGCAATTGCAACAATGTCCACCCAAAACCCAGGCATACCTTCTAGTTCCAGACAACGTCCTGAAGACACCAAAATTCCCTGTTTAAATTGTCCTAAGCTTATTTCCAGAGTCTACTTGGCCCTCTACTCCTGGTCCATCATCCCATGAGCAAACTGGGCCTTTGGTGTGCATACCCCTAAACCTGAAGGATATGCCAGCCTTGTGTTAAGTCACGCATACAACCTTGTGGTATACTGAAGGATAAAGTTAGACATTAGAAAAGGAGCAGCCAGAAATCAGGGCATACAGTATTTGCATTTCAAGTACAGACTTTCAAAGTAACAAAGAGTTTCATTTTAAGCGAAGTTGTATAAATCATGATGACATTATATGTATCATGATAGGAAGATGAAATATATCTTACTTAAAATTTTGTTTCCTTTGTTTATAATGCTTGAATATTTTCCTCTATGGTACCAGGGTCTCTGTCCTTTTGATCCAGGCCTTCCAATGCTTTAGGTGACCTAGAAATTCAGGGGAGTTGAAAGAGAGGGCTGGGAAAATGTGATCAATTCAAAAAAATACTATGCATATTTTAAAGAAGGTGCACATTGTACAATGGAAGTTTTAATAAATGACACAATGAAAAGCAACATTAATATATTGTCCAGGAGATGTTAATATAAAAATCAAGCAATAGGTGGGGAGTGGTGGCTCATGCCTGTAATCTCATCACTTTGGGAGGCTGAGTCAGGTGGATCACCTGAAGTCAGGAGTTTGAGACCAGCCTGACCAATATGGTGAAACCTTGTCTCTACTAAAAATACAAAAAAATTAGCCAGGCGTGGTGCATGAGCCTGTGGTTTCAGCTACTCAGGAGGCTGAGACAGGAGAATTGCTTGAACCCCATAGGTGGAGGTTGCAGTGAGCTGAGATCACACCACTGCATTCCAGCCTGGGTGACAGGGCAAGACTTTGTCTCAAAAAATAAAAATAAAACGACATAGAGCAATTCAGCCCACTGCCTTAATTTTTTTTTCTCTTTAAATGTTTCACAAACGCTGAAGCAACATATTGCCTATGAAGACCTAGAGCAAATGGACACAAAGAGAAGGTTAACAGTGGGCAGAGGGGCAAAGGGTTCAAAGGACTCTTAGTGGACAATGCAGGCAACTCTGGAAAATATTACATTTTTATTCACACATGTAAGAAATATAGATTAAATACCAGTATGTGCAATGCTGTATATTACCAATATATGCCAAGCACTGTGGGAAATATTATTAATATTAGCAAAATGGTATTCCTGCTCCTAGAGAACTTTCTATTGGTTATACTTATATTCAGTTCTTGCTTCTTTGCTGAGCTGCCTTGGAGTTGATTTTGTCACTTGCTAGTTATTCTTATCAATGCCTCATGTGTCGGGGTGACCCATGGCAAGAAAAACAAGTCTAAGAAAAGTACCAGGACCTATGCTAAGTGCTTATATAATTGCCTAAAAAATAATACTTTGAGCACATAGTTTATTTGTATTGAGTGTTATAGCAGGTACAGTTTTAAATACCTTACATGTATTAACCTATTTTACCTTAGAAAAATTCTATGAGATAGATGCTGTTATTATCTTTACGATGCAGGTTAGGAAAGTAAGTCAAAGAGAAATTAAATAATTTACACAAGGTCATTTGACCAATAAATTACAGGTTGGGATTCAAAGCCAACTTGCCTCATTATCCAGTTAAGTAGATTATACTGTTTTCTTAAATCAGGTCTAAACAGTAAACATGTTGATGTGAAATAGGAATTTGAGAGCCTGAATTACTTACAGTTTGTGCTGTTAAATGTCACACATGATAGATATCACAATAAGACTATATTAAATGCCCATTTCTGTGGGTCCAGGGGGCCTCTTATTTATTATCTCTGTGGTAACACCTACCACATTTTACTGCAATTGGTATTTACATGTTTTATCCCACTAGTCTGCTGGAGCCTTGAGGGCAAACCAGTATTTCTTTATGGTTTATCTGCAGCATTTTATAGCCATAGATGTTCAATAAATATTTTTCAATTATGAATGAATCAAGTCATATAAACATTCAACAATTTCCATTTATCATGTATTATACTGAATTATAGATAATTGAATGACTATTTTCAGTTACATTGGTATCCCTGTAGTTAAAAAAAAAAAAAGTACAAGTTTTAAATTAAGAACATTATACTTCATAGAAAGGGCAAGGTTTACCTTTGAACTTAGATGTCCAATGCCCTTCCACTAAGCAACATTATAAGGTAGGGACTCAGACCCAAGGGCAGAACCTTATTCACTTTCTGATCATGATGATCAAAGTATCTGGTCAGCAGCAGGTAAATTCCTTGAAAATCCAAGGAGATTGGCTAAACAAGACACAATCATATACACAGATAAAAGCTGTCTCAATAAAAAAAAGCCAGCAGAAATCTACAGAAAAATTGAGACAAGTACTACCAAAATGACATTGAACTTTTGTGACCAGTGACTTCTCTAAGTTACCATTTTAACTTATTTTTAGTTATTCTAAACCTTACTATCTGCTTTGAAAGTCAAAACAAAGAGATAGGAAGATGTGTGATAGGCACTGGATGCTTTTTACTTGCTTTCCCATTTAATTGTCTCAGCCTACCATTGATATTTTATCCTGAGATTTTGTAGATAAGCAAGCAAGTTAATTAGGTAATTTGTTCATTGCCACACCAGGCAATGGGAAATCTAACATGAAAACCCAGATGTCTGAATTCCAAATACTTGAAACATAGTATGTTTTCTCTCCCTGGACCTTGAAATCTCTATTATTTTCAACCGTTTTTCTCCAATTTTTAATACTCTCTGTTCAGAAAGTGAGCACTACAATCTAACTTCATGAACTATGCCTGTGAAAATGTCTTAATCCAGTCATTATGGCACAAAATAGTCTTTCTGCTTTCTGACATTACTACATTAAACTTATCTCAAAATGTTTAAAGCATGTATAAAGATTTCTCTCTTTTTTTTTAGATATATGAGTCTTGAGACAATAAGGAATTATTCTGAAAGCAAAAAAACACTTACCTTTACTAGAAAACTACTGCTCAATTGGGTGTATAATACTAGAAAGGAACAAGGGATCCCATCAAGGTAAGTGCTTTGAACTGTGTAAGAAATGCTATTATATTCACTTGAAATTCCCTATTTCTGTTAAAATTGTATCCTGAATATTTAGGAAAATATTTCGAGGAATTTTACAGCTCAATTTTTAAAAATTTTGCATATTTTGCTGGGCACGGTGGCTCAAGCCTGTAATCCCAGCACTTTGGGAGGCCGAGGCGGGTGGATCACAAAATCAAGAGATCGAGACCATCCTGGTCAACATGGTGAAACCCTGTCTCTACTAAAAATACAAAAAATTAGCTGGGCCTGGTGGTGCGTGCCTGTAATCCCAGCTACTCAGGAGGCTGAGGCAGGAGAATTGACTGAACCCAGGAGGCAGAGGTTGCGGTGAGCCGAGATTGCGCCATTGCACTCCAGCCTGGGTAACAAGAGCGAAACTCCGTCTCAAAAAAAAAAAAAAAAAAAAAAAAAAAAAAATTTGCATATTTTATTATTTGAGAAACGGCCTTAGAAAATGCTCATAAACATAAAGAAAACAAACATTCTGTGTTAACAAATGCTATTATATTCACTTGAAATTCCCTATTTCTGTTAAAATGGTATCCTGAATATTTCGCAAAATATTTTGAGAAATTTTACAACTCGATTTTTTAAAACAAAATTTGTGTATTTTATTATTTCAGAAACGGCCTTAGAAAATGCTGATAAACATACTTAAAGTGAGAAAACAAACATAATCTGTGTGAACAAACTGACTTTTTATACATGTTACTAAATCAGCCATCACACTCACCACAAGTTTTGGAATCACCATATGTTGTTAGAGTTTTCTTAAAAATCAAAGGAGATTATGGCATAATCTAAGGAGAAAATGATCTGGCCAATATCCACTGTAAACCTTAGCTACATCTTTTTAATTTTTTATTGTTTAGAAAAAAAAGTTTTTTCCTATCGTTACAGTTGATTTAAAGCCTTGAAGTGGGTGGTACCCACCTCAGAGCAGACTGATGAGTGTAATAGGGTATAAACTGCTGCAGAATGTTTATTAGAAATGTGAGGGTCAGCCACCACCCTAAGTTTCTTATGTACATGCATGAAGTTATTTAAAGAATAAAAAAGATAGGAATAATATCCTGTTTTTGAGGTAAATTTCACATACATAAATTAACCATTAACCATTTTAAAGTATGTAATTCAGTGTTATTTACTAGTCCAAAAGTAAACTGGGTATTCATTAAGCAGTCATTCCCCATTTTCCCTTTCTGCCCTTTCCTGGAAAGCACCAGTCTGTTTCCTGTCCCTGTGAATTTACTTAATTCAAATGTTTGACATAAATAAAAACATCACCATGTAGCCTTATGTTTCTGGCTTCTTTCACTTAGCATAATGTTTTCATCTACATAGTAGAATGTATTAGTAGCATAAGGGTCATCCTCTTTATAGCATGTATCAGTATGTGATTCCTATTTAAGGTTGAATAATATTCCATGGTAAATATGCCACTTTTTTTTTTTTTTTTGAGACGGAGTTTCGCTCTTGTTACCCAGGCTGGAGTGCAATGGCGCGATCTCGGCTCACCGCAACCTCCGCCTCCTGGGTTCAGGCAATTCTCCTGCCTCAGCCTCCTGAGTAGCTGGGATTACAAGCACACGCCACCATGCCCAGCTAATTTTTTGTATTTTTAGTAGAGACGGGGTTTCACCAAGTTGACCAGGATGGTCTCGATCTCTCGACCTTGTGATCCATCTGCCTCGGCCTCCCAAAGTGCTGGGATTACAAGCTTGAGCCACGGCGCCCGGCCTTTTTTTTTTTTTTTTTTGAGACACAGTTTCACTCTTGTTACCCAGGCTGGAGTGCAATGGCGCGATCTCAGGCTCACTGCAACCTCTGCCTCCTGGGTTCAGGACAATTCTCCTGCCTCAGCCTCCTGAGTAGCTGAGATTACAGGCACGTGCCACCATGCCCAGCTAATTTTTTGTATTTTTAGTAGAGACGAGGTTTCACCATGTTGACCAGGATGGTCTCGATCTCTCGACCTCGTGATCCACCCGCCTCGGCCTCCCAAAGTGCTGGGATTACAAGCTTGAGCCATCGCGCCCGGCCTAATATGCCACATTTTATTTATCCATTCAGATGATGGACATTTGAGTTGTTTCTACCTTTTGGCTATTATATATAGTGCTGCCATGAACATTCATGTGCAAGTTTTTATTTGAATACCTGCTTCCTATTCTTTTAGGCATATCCCAGGGGTAAAATTACAGGACTGTATGGTAATTCTATATTTAGTTTCTTGAGTAACCACCAAGTTGTTTTCCACAGCTGGTATATAATTTTGATACCAGGAAGTATAAGTCCTTCAACTTTTTCAAGATTGTTGTAACTAGTTCTGGTCCCTTAAAATTCCATCATCTAAATTTTAGATTATCTTGTCTCTGTCTGCAAAATAAAAAGGTCATTGAGATTCTTATAGGATTGAATTTAATCTGGAGATTTCTTTGGGTAGCATTGTCATATTATCAATATTAAGCCTTCCAAACTATGAACATGGAATGTCTTCCTATTTATTTGAACCTTTAACTTATTTTGATAATGTCTTGTTTTCATCATGCTATCCACAAATAGACATCATTTTACGTCTTCCTTTTCAATTTGAATTTCTTTTTTTTTCTTAGATTCAATAGAAAGGAATATAGCTAGTGACAAAATAAATGAGATCAGTGACTGCAAATTTAACCATAAACTTAAGCCAAGTTAACCCCCAGTGCCATGGTGTGCCAAACATGGTTTTGCTGCTGTAAGAAAAGGGCAGAAGGGTTGCCACAAAGTTAACAAAGCTTACACACGCTGCAGCTCCTATCACAGGGGAGCTGCCAGAGGCCTTGGAGGGTCCTGACAATGTGAGCACAGATTATATATTACTGCATTCATAATTTCATCATCTTTTTTTCTAATGGGACCCAAAATTGTAAAAGCTTCTGGGCTGTGGCATAGATCTACCTCTGAGAATGAGAAAATGATCTGCTATATACCCAGTCTTCAATCAGCAATTAATTAATCATTGCAATTTGAATTTTAACAAAAATAGTGTATTATTATACTACTTTAATAATTAAAAATAGAATCAAAATTTAAAAAATTAAAAGTAAATTCTCTTATCTACATTTCTACTCTCCATCATACTGAGTTTGGAAGCTATTTTTCAAAGCATATACATTACTTTAAATTTTGTGATAAAATTTGGATTCATGCATTCCACTATCATGCATCCTAGTCTTTGATCCCAGTTTTATACCTTAAAAAGAGATGAATCTCATGATACATTGTTAAAAGAGAAAAAAGCAGGTGACATAAAAATGTGTGTCATATGATTTCTTTTATATTTAAGGACAATTATTTTATAAACATAAGAAGTTGGAATAAAATATTCAAACTGATAGTAGTATTCATCTCTGAAAATTGGACTTATCAAAAGGTGGAAAGGATTCTCTTTATTTTAAAAAATATATTTCCAGTTTGAATTTTCCTTCTGTTATACCAAAAGTATTTATATTAAAAGTGAAAAGAAAAAGTGAATGAGATTTAAGGAAGGAAAGAAAGAAAAAGGAGAAACTAGACTCAAGACAGAGGAGGATCAGTGGAGGAAATTCAAAGGACAGTATCTGAAGCAGGATGCCAGAATGTGTTAGCTTAGTGGTGGCTGCTTTCAGAATTAAGGAGGGCTCTGCAGCTGTTGATAATTAAAACAGAAGTGAGTATATACGAAAATCATTTAATGTAAACCTTTTATCAGATAAAATTGTCTTTTTGTTTTACAGATACTTCTTTTTTCATATATGCCATAAAATAGTATTTACTGAGGAATTTGAGTATATTGGATACCTTGTGGTACTAACGAATATATTTCCTATTGTAATCTCTTGGATATCCTGGTTAAATGAAATCTACAGCAGAGAATTAAAACTCAGTAACTACTCTTTTCTTACATATTATATTCTAGAGGCACTACTTAAGGTAATCTAAAATTTATGTGTGTGTGAAAGTGTTTTATGTCTGACAGGATTTCCAAGCCTTGTTTTTCAACATTAGCAACAGTTTTCTGAAAGAGTGTATGAATTTTTTCCTCAATTCTCCAAACTTTAATTTTTGAAAGGAATTTTTAGGGCAACTCAACAGATAATATGTATACTTGAAGTACTGATTTGTGTTTCCACAAATAAATTTTAAAATTGTCTGTGTTCAAGGGACACAAAGTGAGTTTAAAAGGTATTGGCAATGTTCTTAGTCTTAGCAAGGTGGTAAGTACTTGAATGTTCATTTTATTATTTTTATACTGGATAGATATTTTTATATCTATCTAGCATAATAGAGTACAATGGGGACAGAAGGAGTTTCTTATGCAGAATAGTAGGGTCAGAAAAAGAAGGTTTTCAAGGGAAAGAGATCCTTGGGTTGAATTTTGAATAATGTGTAGGAGCCAAAAAAGAGAATGAGTTCATAGCATAATAAACAACAGGAGGAAGGGAAAACATAGAAGCAACACCATGACACATGTAAGGAACACCACTCCCAGTGACTGAAGCTCAGGAATGGGTTGGTCAGAGTGGAGATTGGTGAGATGGTAAATATGTTTTCAGAATATGGAAAATGAGGGAGGAGACAAAGATATGAATTAAATAATAAAGGGCAGGCCATGCTGTCTCATCGACTTTCCTGACATCAACTGTTATTCATAGTCTAATGACTCCCAAATTCACGTCCATAGCTCAAATTTTATCCAGAGCCTTAGATCACATAGGCAGCTGCTGACTGGATCCCTCTGGCAAAATACCGTGCAAACATCCCAAGCAGCATAGTGAAAGGAAATGTGTCTTCTGTAATCCTACTCTCCCTTCAGAATTTCACTGGAAACCCAGCTTCCCAAGATGAAATCTACAGTCATCTTTGAAACCTCCCACTCTCTTAGCTTTAATAGGTTTCAAGAAACCATTTTGAAGTATACAGAAGGACTGACTGTATGAACTATCACAAAATAGTAGGTATTTTGAATATTTTTTCCCTTGGAATAGATGCTTCACTATTTTAGCCATTGCACTTCAAATTAGTATGATCATTTATTCATATAAATATATATTTTAACATATCTAAATTCAAATAATTATTTTAACAAGAAAGATGTTATGACATTAAACACTATAGACACCACAATTGTGACTATTCGTCACAATTCTGGAAAGTTTAAAAAGTATTTGTTCCAGTTTTATAAATTTAGCAGATCAGTTAATTGTTAGATAGTAGTTAAGTGAGATAAAATATGTGGGTACAAATACTGGATCTAAAATATTCACATGTATTTCACTTTAACTAATAAAATGAACTCCTTCTATATTTGTATTCTACTAGAAATGTCATATTTAACTAGAAACCTGCCTCAACTGTCTTCAGTTGGCATTCAGCTAGCCCTGAACAAAATTGCCAGAAAACCTTTTCCAATTGTTGATTCAAGGCAATGAAATCTGTTTTCAGAATTCAGACTAAGTTATGGTATTAATGCCTTCAAATTAATGTAGTGAACATAAAGAAACAGAAGGAACTATGTATTCTACCTGGTTTTATGCCTAGCAGTAGGAGAATTGTAAGTGCTTCAATTTTATTATTTTCTTTTGAGTTGCTTCTAAAAAACTACCCTTTTTAGGGATTCTAAAAGGATGTTGTCTGAATCAACAAACATTCTAGTTGTCCTTACTGGATCTCTAGATATATGAGGCAGAAAATAGGGGGGAAATGTAATATACCTTTTATAAAAATGGCAAAAGCAGTTTCTCAGCTGGCAACTATCTGATTTAAAAGACTGTCAAATTAGTGGACCTGTGTAGAATCATCCTAAAAAGCTATTCTACCTCTAATGTAGGAATATATGATTATGAAATAAAACATACATAGAGAACTTCTGATATGAATTTATTTCAGTCTTTATGTGTTGATAAAGCCTTGTTAGCTCTACAAATATATTCACTGAGATAAAGAAAACGGTTGGTGCAATTGCACAGGTAATTCTGACAAAAAAATTTACTTCTACTTAGATTTTCGTAAAAATTTTTTTCTTATAAATATAAGAAAAAATAACTTATTCTGCGTTATCCCAGAATAAAATTATACAAGTAAATTTAGTGAAGAAAGCATAATCTTTGATAAATTTTAAATCTTTAACTACTTTAATAAAAACTTTGCCTACATGTGTCACAACAAACATAAACTAATTTTGTCTTGATTACTCAGAATCATCATTTTGGATATAAATTATAAAATACTAAAAAATAGAATACAACCTCTAGGATTTTTATGGCATTTAAGGCTATTTGTTTTCAATTAGAAGACTCTGCCATACTTTATTTTTTTTGAATTTGCCTTTCTATTGTTGCTACTTTTTACCGGTGTTATTATGTATATCTGTTTCTTTTCATCTATACCTGTGCTTTAAACCCATTCCTAAATTAATAGTCCTAATCCTTTACTACAGGATAAATCTGATGGACTTGTTTGTTTGATTTTGGTTTCCTGAGGATATTTCATACACGTGGAGTAGTTAAGAGAAAAACGTAACATGATGTTTAAATTATTGTGGAAAATGGTGTAGTAAAAGCAGAAACAAACATGATAATGTAATTTCCTTTTAAATCAACAGATAGCAGCAATGAGGAAGGATTTTTTTTCACATGCCTGGAACCTGTTTGAATCAGCATTTACATTAATTGGCATCTTAGATATAATACTTGATGAAATAGACACCACTAAGTATATTTCTGATGTGACTCGAGCAAAGGTCTTTATAAAAGTTGTTCTGTTTCTTCGTATACTACGCATTTTCAAGGTAAAGAACAAGTCAGTTGTTCAATTTCCAATTCCTACTGCTTGTTTCATAAAACATAGACTAAAATCAGTTTACTAGTTTTATGGCTGCCATTTTCTGTTGGGCTAGTGTTTATATTTTAAATTTTAGCTCCCTTGACAAATTAAGTTTTATAACATTTTATATTATAAGCATCCAAATTATATTAGGAATTTGTTTAGCATATGAAAGTATGGGAATACTTATTACAACTTTTCCTTTAAATAGAAAAGGAAATTCTATATTCATGTAAGTATAAGTTATACTTAATTACATAATTCTATATTAATGTAAGTATAAGTTAACCTCCATGAGAAATTCTATATTAATGTAAGTATAAGTTAACCTCCAAGTAATGTTTATGTTTATATTTATTTGGGAAATAAAAGATGGAAGTTAATAAAACAACCATGCAAACTATAGGGACAAAGAAAATAGCCTACATTTATACAAATCAAGGAAAAATACAATTAGTATTATAGAAATATCGTTTCAAAAATAACCTTTGGGCCGGGCGCGGTGGCTAAAGCCTGTAATCCCAGCACTTTGGGAGGCCGAGGCGGGTGGATCACGAGGTCAAGAGATCGAGACCATCCTGGTCAACATGGTGAAACCCCGTCTCTACTAAAAATACAAAAAATTAGCTGGGCATGGTGGCACATGCCTGTAATCCCAGCTACTCAGGAGGCTGAGGCAGGAGAATTGCCTGAACCCGGGAGGCGGAGGTTGCGGTGAGCCGAGATCGCGCCATTGCACTCCATCCTGGGTAACAAGAGTGAAACTCCGTCTCAAAAAAACAAACAAACAAACAAACAAAAAATAACCTTTGATTGTCTAATAACACTTTTCTATAATAAATATTATGGGTGATTTTTTCTTTTTCTTTTTCTTTTTTTTTTTCTGAGACGGAGTTTCGCTCTTGTTACCCAGGCTGGAGTGCAATGGTGTGATCTTGGCTCACCGCAACCTCGGCCTCCCGGGTTCAGGCAATTCTCCTGCCTCAGCCTCCTGAGTAGCTGGGATTACAGGCACGCGCCACGATGCCCAGCTAATTTTTTGTATTTTTAGTAGAGACGGGGTTTCACCATGTTGACCAGGATGGTCTCGATCTCTTGACCTTGTGATCCACCCACCTCGGCCTCCCAAAGTGCTGGGATTACAGGCTTGAGCCACCTCGCCGGGCTGGTAGAGATACAGTTAAATAAAACATAATTCATATGAGATAAAACTCATAGAATCTTTACATTTAGATCTTTCTTACACATGTAAGGAATAATTTAAAATATTTTTGCTACTGAGAAGTGTAAATCAACTAAGTCAAAGAGTACATAACTAATAGCCTGCTCTTTCAGTATTCTAAGGGACCGTAAGTAGTGCTAGAGTGTAATATGACCTGAGGAAGGCAAGTCTAATGTATTCCACTGATTAATTCTTTCTAATAGGAAGGTATACAGAGCCTAACGAATAGTTTAGATAAAGAAACCATAAGCCACGTAAGAAAAGTTTGTTGATATATTCAGGAAACTCTGAACTATGGTCTTATGTTAAATCACAGGTCCTTGGAATATGAAGATGAATTAGATATTGTCTGTTCCCTTGGAAAGCTTATTGTAGAAGAGAAATCACAAGCAATCTAGAGATTCCAATGTTATATGGTAGGATAGGTGCAAAACAGGAGTATACACAGAATGCTGGTGAGATAGAAAAGACTTCCTGTATTACATGATACTTGAGCTGAATCTTGAAAGATGAGTGTAAACCCTTTGGAATTAGTGGCAGGTAGTTGGCAGGTAGAGTATGGAGGTTGTAGAACATAGATTCAAAAAACAAAGGGGTTGGTAAACTCTGCAGAAGCTAGGGGACCGTACAATGGTAGCCAGTAACCTGGAGACTTCAACCCTCAGCAAAGAAACATGGAGAAGAGAGTTAATTTTGGAGTTTAAAAGGCAGTATGGTTTTGGTGGTTTCTCACCTGACCAGACCGTCTAGTAGGAAGTGTTATAGGAGATTTAGCATGCAAAAATGACAGTAATTTAGTCATTGTATGACCTAAGCACAGAAGATTAAATGTGTTGTTTTTTAAGAATTTAAACTAGCTGGAAATAGCATCCAATTCTCTATAAAGAAAATAAGTGAAGAATAAAGTAACAAATTTCACATAGGTGCCCCCAGATTATTAGTTACAGGGAAATAGCTGCAGTCATGAAGTTATAAAAACACCACTAATAAAATAACCAAGAGTTTTCACAGGTCATTGTAGTTATCTTTGAGTGTACTTAATTTTTTATTACTAAATATTTTGATTAAACTAATCAACATATCATAAAATATTTGTAAAATGTATATTAATGGTAGTTCTGCTTAATTCAGCTCATAGCACCAAGGTTGCTGCAGATAATAGATAAAAGAATGAGTCATCAGCTGACCTTTTGGTATGCAATACTAAAAGGGTATGTCCAAGGCGAAGCAGACATAATGACTATAATTGATCAGATTACAAGTTCTAAACAGATTAAACAGGTAAGAAAACCTTAAATACTAAGAAAAGAGTTTATTCATCGCTTCTCGGCCTTTTGGCTAAGATCAAGTGTAAAGGGTTTCCTCAGTCCTCAGTTGCCCTCATCCATAGTGTTCTCTGTTCATATATGCAAATGTCTTTGACTCTTGGTTTGCTAATTAATATTTTTAAAAACTTAAACTAAGCTACATTGAAATTACTCAAATGCCTTCTTCTGAAATGACCTGTGCCATATTAGTGAGTTACAAGGCACCTTTCTGTCTTTGTGGAGGCTATCAGGAAACCCATGTGCAGTAGTCAGCTTTCTCCCAGTGTAAGCTCTAAGATCTGTCAGGCTATAGATGTGTAAAATAGGAAGTATTGGAAGGTGAGAAGTGAAGGCAGGGTGGAGAAAACAGGGCTTCCTCGTAATGCCCACAAGATTCTTTCATCTCTATCCTTGTTTTCTACACATTAAACAGTAAAGGAAATAAAAACAAGTGATTTGGCAAATAGAAGTAAAGAAAACAATAATTAAAATAGAGAGGAAACCTTGATTGATTTTGTCATTATGCAAATGAGAAAAATGAGGCCAAGAGAGGTTAAATGGTTGTGCCCAAAGTTCCATAGCTAGTAAGCAGCAAAGACAATTCTAAGGCCTAAATTCTACATATTATTTTAACTTTTTAGATTGAGACAGATTAATACTTATATGTGCCCACGAGTTTGTCAGCTATGTGGAATTCAATATTTACTTTTCAAAACAATTTAAAACATTTCAATGCTATATTTTATGTGCCCAAAACTTTGTCATTGAGAAAATTGAACATTCAATATGTTACAGAACACAAAATGTGCTATCTTCCTCTCTTCACCTCCTGGAACTTTAAAACTATTTTCTTATATTTCATTACCTTTTCTAACCACTGATATTTAGCACTTAAATTTGGAGATACACAGGAGATAATACGAAAGGACTTGAGTCCCTAAAATACTGTCTTATTAGCCCTAATTTCCTCTTTCATTCATATTGGCCAAAACTTCCACTCTCTTAAGGTTGAAAGCCATCCTGGCATCCCAAATTTGGGGGTTCTCATAAAGGAGAATGGGAAAGTATGCACTGTGCTTGCACTTTTCAGAATCATGACTCACCTTCAGACTTCTCAAAATTGGCCTAGCTTATACCTCTTGTCTTCTCTATCACTCTAGCTGAAGCAAAAAGTGCTGCAGCACAAAATTCAATTCGAACCCATGAAAACCTCTCCATCATATATTTTTTAAAACTGTTAACTTAGGTTAAAAAATCCATCCATTGCGGCCGGGTGCGGTGGCTCAAGCCTGTAATCCCAGCACTTTGGGAGGCCGAGGCGGGTGGATCACAAGGTCAAGAGATCGAGACCATCCTGGTCAACATGGTGAAACCCCGTCTTTACTAAAATACAAAAAAAAAAACTAGCTGGGCATGGTGGCATGTGCCTGTAATCCCAGCTACTCAGGAGGCTGAGGCAGGAGAATTGCCTGAACCCGGAAGGCGGAGGTTGCAGTGAGCCAAGATGGCGCCATTGCACTCCAGCCTGGGTAACGAGAGCGAAACTTCATCTCAGGAAAAAAAAAAAAAAAAAAAAAAATCCATCCGTTGCAAATGTGAGGACATTTTATAACAGTCTGTTTTTCCAATGGGGATAACATTTCTTTTGTTCCTTAGATGTTACTAAAGCGAGTGATAAGGAATATGGAAGATGCCATGAAGGAGCTAGGTAAGTAGCTCTCATCCTATTTATCATGACCATCTGTTATCATCACCACTTCAGAAAGGCAGAGGTTTTCATAACTCAAGCTAATCTTTGAGGAAACCTACTCACTAATAATACTGAAGTGAGCAACTTCAATACTCAATACAATCTTATTTTCTAGTAGAGATGGAAATAGTGTAATAGCTCTTCACGCTTTCTCTCCGTGCTTTATACAACAATGAAGGGCTTTTGATTTCTCTTTAGACAAGTTGGCATGCCATGATTATGTATGTCATTATAGTCTTGTAAATTCCTTTTTTTTTTTTTCCAAATGAGAAATCCATGACTTTCTTGAGTGACAAAAGGAAAGAAATGACTTTTTTTCCTCTGCTTGCCACAGAGCTGCCATTTAAGGATTTAGGTCTTAAATGAGTTGAAATCAGAATAAAATCTTGCAGAATTCTGTTATATCTGCTGGGAGGCTGAGTGCCAAACATGGCAGTTGCCTATTCTCTGAGTCATGCCAAGTCATGCTCCTGGCGCAGGACAAATCATGAGAGTGGTACAGTCACACCCCAACAGTATAGTGTTCATGTGTAGGAGGAGAAGAAAATTTTATACCAGGTGATGGGCTACAAAAGGACACAGCAATGACCTGGAAATGAGGTCATTTGAGAGATGTTCTATGACAGATAGTTACCAAGCCAGATAAGAGGTTATGATCAAAGAAAAGCCCAAATGTAGACTCTAAGATGAAATTTCATGGACATCAGGAATCCAGATGAAACAGGTAGAAGAGCATAGATGTATAAGTCTTCTAGATGCACTGGCAAGTTGAGTGGACAGTGACCTAAGATGAGTGAGACGAATTAATCCCAAGCTGTGTTTAATCATACGATCTGTAGTTAAAAAGTCTGATTCACACAGAATAAGAAAGTGGGTCATGAACTCCAGACATATAGCCTTGAGCAGGCTCCCAGTGTCCAGTGCAGGTAGAAAAGTATACCTGTTAATCTGAGAAATGAGGCTACCTATCCTTCTCCATGGACATAGGCGCAAGTATGAAAGCTGTCAAGAAAACATCCAGCAGAACTCTGGCACTACTAGTGAATTATGATTGATCATAGTGGCCCCTTCAGGAAGAGATACATTTCTCTCTGCTGAGGGTGGTATTCCATGGGTTTAGAGCAGAAACATTAGCTTATTGTCCACATAAAACATTTCAAACAATGTTCTTATTTAATCTAAAAATATTTTTGTTTTTTTTAGGCTACTTAGAGTACGATCACCCAGAAATTGCTGTCACCATGAAAACAAAGGAGGAAATTAATGTTATGCTCAATATGGCTAGAGAAATTGTTAAGGTTTTCAGATTAAAAGGAATTATTCACAAAACTGAAGCTGCTGAAATTAATAAGGTAAGGCAAAATATTTTCAAAGCAGATGTGCTTACTTGATATATAATTATTCATGACCTTTAAGCCTACATTTGACTTATAATACAAGCCATTCCTGAGATAGGAAAATCTCACTTAAAATAATGGTCTAAAGACAAACTCCAATTATAGACAATTTCCTTCCTGCAGCCAAGATGGTCAGCTTCTCTTTTCATTTTTGCTACAGTAACCACCTCTTTCTCTGCTTTGCTGCCAAACCAAGAATCTGATGAATCTATTATTCATCCTAGATTACAGTGGGTATTACTATGTTTGGGGAATTACTTGTAACACTGAAATAATATTTTCCTTGTTTAAACATGATTTATGAGAACACTCAGTTGTAGGGTTAGGGTTGACTATATTTCCTTGTTCTAATTTACATAAATGGTACTACGACATATAAAGGATAAAAAGAATCCCAATTTATTCCCTAAGTACAAACTTGACACCAAAATTGTAAATAGCATAAGGAAAAAAAAAAGCATAAAGCTGTTATACTTGTAAATACACATACAAAACTTCTTAGAATAATAGTAGTGAACTGAATTGGATAGTGTATTAAATGTGTAATACACTTTGTCTTAGTAGGTTTTATCTCCCCAAACAGCTAAGTAACTCATATATTAAGAGATGAAGAATAAAAACCATTTGATAAAATTTAACCCTCATTCAGAATGTTCAAAAAACTCTCAGAAGACTACTAAGAGTAGGAACTTCCTTAACCTGATAAATAGTATCTATTAAAAATTTGTAGCAAACTTTGTGTTAGATAGCAAAACATTAAGAGCATTCTTATTAAAGTTAGGAACAAAAGAAGAATGACAAGTGGCATTCCAACCATTGAATGACTATGCTGGAGGTCTCATCCAAGTCAAGAAAAAAAGAAAATTGAGAGATGAAAATTTTGAAAGAGGAGAAAACTGCTATTCGTTGATTGTTTAACTTAAAATCTTAGGGAGGTAACCTAAAAGCAGTAGGATTCATAAAATAATTCACTAGAGTGTCCAGAAATAAGAGTAATATATAACATTCTTCTCTAATGGAAACATTTAGAAAAATATTATTATATTTACAATTGCAATTAGAAGCTCTAAATTCTTATCTATGAACCCAACAAAATAACACCTATGTGGCAAGAAGTAAAAAATTCCTGCTGGATATGTGTTTCTGTAGAGTAGGGATTAATAATCATTTTCTATAAAGGAATACTTAGTAAATATTTTAGATTATGTGAGCCTTATGGTTCCTACTACTACTAATAAATTCTGCAATTGTAATACCAAAACAACTACAGACAACATGTAAATAAATAGAGATAGCTGAGTTCCCCACCCTAAAAAAAGGTACTATTTATAAAAGCAAGTATTAAGCAGGAGTTGGCCTGCAGGCAGTAGTTGCAGATCAAAAAAACATGATCCAACTATATGCTTTTTCTTTGAGAAATTGGATCTCTACATGCAAAATAATAAAATTGGACCCTTAACTAATATCATATACAAAACATACCTCAAAATAGATCCATGACCTTTATGTAAGATCTAAAACTATCAAACTTGTAGACGAAAACAGGGTTAAAACTCCAAAATACTGGATTTGACAATGATTTTTTGGAAATTATGCTTAAAGTACACACAACAAAAGAAAATATAAACAAAGTGCACTTCATGAAAATTTAGAGATTTGTGGATCAAAAACCACTAGTACAGAGTAAAACAATGACCCACAGAATGCGAGAAATATTTGCAAGCCATGTATCTTATATAAATTAATACCCATAATATATAGAGAACTCATAAAACTAAACAACCTGATTCAAAAATGGGCAAAACATTTGTATAGAAATTTCTCTAAAGAAGATACCCAAATGGCCAATATCATGTGAAAATATAATAGGTTTGACATCATTCTACATTAGAGAAATGCAAACCAAAACTACAGTGAGAACCTTAAATGTAAATGGGCTAAATGCCCCAGTCAAAAGACACAGACTGGCAAATTGGATAAAAAGTCAAAACCCATCAGTGTGCTGTATCCAGGAAACCCATCTCATGTGCAAGGATACACATAGACTCAAAATAAAGGGATGGAGGAAGATTTACCAAGCAAATGGAGAGCAAAAAAAAGTAGGAGTTGCAATTTTAGTCTCTGATAAAATAGACTTTAAACCAACAAAGATCAAAAGAGACAGAGAAGGGTATTGCATGATGGTAAAAGGATCCATGCAACAACAAGAGCTAACAATCCTAAATATATATGCACCCAATACAGGAGCATCCAGATACATAAAGCAAGTTCTTAATGACTTAAGAAGAGACTTAGACTCCTACACAATAATAGTGGGAGACTTTAACACTCCACTGTCAATATTAGACAGATCAATGAGAAAATTAATAAAGATATCCAGGACTCAAACTCAGATCTGGATGAAGCAAACCTAATAGACGTTTACAGAACTCTCCACCCCAAATCCGCAGAATATACATTCTTCTCAGCACCATATCACACCTACTCTAAAACTGACCACATAATTGGAAGTAAATCACTCCTCAGCAAATGCAAAAGAACAGAAATCATAACAAGCAGTCTTTTAGACCACAGTGCAATCAAATTAGAACTCAGGATTAAGAAACTAACTTAGAACTGCATAACTTCATGGAAACTGAACAACTGGTTCTTGAATGTTGACTGGAAAAACAATGAAATAAAGGCAGAAATAAAGATGTTCTTTGAAACCAATGAGAATGAAGACACTATGTACCAGAATGTCTGGGACACATTTAAAGCAGTGTCTAGAGGAAAATTCATAGCAAAAAATGCCCATATGAGAAGCAAGGAAAGATCTAAAATTGACACCTAGAGGAGCAAGATTAAAAAAAACTCAAAAGCTAGCAGAAGACAAGAAATAACTAAGATCAGAGCAAAATTGAAGGAGATAGAGACAGAAAAAAAAAAAAACCTTCAAAAAATTAATAAATCCAAGAGCTAGTTTTTTGAAAAGATCAACAAAATAGACCACTAGCCAGGTTAATAAAAGAGAAAAGAGAATAATCAAATAGATGCAATAAAAAACGATAAAGGGGATATCACCACAGATTCCACAGAAATACAAACTACCATCAGAGATTACTACAAACAACTCTGTGCACGTAAACCTGGAAGAAATTGATTAAGTCCTGGACACCAGCACCCTCCCAACCCTAAACCAGGAAGAAATTGAAACCCTGAATAGACCAATAACAAGGGCTGAAGTTGAGGCAGCAATTAATAGCCTACCAAACTAAAAAAGCCCAGGTCCAGATGGGTTCACAGCCGAATTCTACCATACATACAAAGAGGAGCTGGTACCACTCCTTCTGAAACTATTCCAAACAATCCAAAAAGAGGGAATCCTTCCCAAATCATTTTATGAGACCAACATCATCCTGATACCAAAACCCAGCAGAGACTCAACAAAAACAGAAAACTTCAGGCCAATATCCATGATGAACATAGATGCAAAAATCTTCAATAAAATACTGGCAAACCAATTGCAACAGCATATCAAAAAGCTTGTCCATCACGATCAGGTAGGCTTCATCCCAGGAATGGAAAGCTGGTTCAACATTCCCAAGTCTATAAATGTAATTCATATTTATTTACATATAATGTTCACTTGCATGGCTATACCACAATTTATGTAACCATCTCCAACATAGCTATTAAAGGTAAAGCAATAAACTTCTTGAAGGTGATAGAAGAATTTTCATGACATTGGCATAGGCAAAGATTTCTTAAATAGGATACAAAATTGGATTTAAACAACATTAAAATTAAGAATTTTTCTTCATTAAAAATTTTAAGAAAATTAAAAGATAGTCCACAAAAAAATGGAGGATATTAGCAAGATAAATATTTCCAATGAATAACTCATATCCAGAATATACAAATCAATGAGAACAAGCCAGTAAGTTCATTTTTTTTTAATGAGAAAAGATTTGAAAGTGGACTGTGCAGGAGAAGGTATTTAAATGACTGATAAGCATAAGAAAAGGTGCTAAATATCACTGTCATAAGCTTGATACAAATTAAAACCAAAATGAAATACCAACACACAACTACTAGCATACCATTTTTCTTAAACTGGCAATACCAACTGTAGACAACAGTGTGGAACAAATGGAACATTGGAAGTGCAAATTAATGTGAAAAACTATTCAGCAATACCTATTAAAATTGAACATATGCATACCTTATGATCCAGCAATCAGATTAGATAACCATATACTCAACAGAAATATGTACACTTGTACACCATATCTGTAGCAGCATTACTCATGAAAACCCCAACTGAAGCAATCAACAGTAGATAAAGCTGTGGTATCCATGCAACCTAATACTATACAACAATGAAAATAAAGTGAAGAAATTTTTGCTTTCTGCAACACCATAGACGACTCTCAGAAACGTAATGTTGAGCAAATGAAATCAGACATAAGTACATTCTTTCATTTCATGCCAGTAAAGCTGAAAACCAGAGAAAGCTAAACTATGATAATAGAAGAATAGTAGTTATCTTTGGATAGAAGTATGATTAGAGGAGAACATAAAGGAGGATTCTAGGGTGAAACAAATGTTTTATTAATCTGGGTGTTGGTTACACAGATGTTTTTACTTTGTAAATATTCTTTAGTGAACATTTATGACTCGTACACTTTTTCCACATCTGCTATGCTTCAGTAAAATGTTTTACTTTAAGAAGCTTATCTATGACATCAGAATAATGATCACATGGAAAACTACCTAACAGATACTATACTTATTACCTGGGTAACAAAATAATCTGTACACCAAATCCCATGACATGCAATTTACCCATATAACAAGACTGCACATGTATCACCTGAACCTAAAATAAAAGTTGGAAAGAAAGAAAAATAATGATGATACAAAAAGATAGAATCATGATGTAAGAAGAGAGAGGTTGGAAGTTTTCATGGAAAAAGAAAAATTTCAAATGATCAAGAACAGGAAATAGTACAAAGACCTATCTTTCTTAAACCTTCTGGGAACAACTGCTTCATCCCTTTTCTGTAATTTTATGGTTTTAGTTAATCACGGCCAAAAAGAGAGAGGTGCTTGATTCTCAATATTTTATCAGGCCTCTTACCATTGAAGAAGTCCTATATCATATTCCATGGCTTGATAAAAACAAAGATCACATAAACTTCATTCAGGTAACACTTTTATTTCCTATTAATATTTTTAATGTAGTAACAAATAGTCTTTTTAAAAGTAAGAATTTAACCATGATACTCTCTAATGTTCTCTAAATGTTCCTTATTGCCAATAGGATAAAATCAATATCCTTTGAATAATATGCAAAACCTTTCTACAGTCTGTCTCCTGCCTACTTCTCCACCTTCATATTCTGTTTTCTGTCACATACCCCCTATACTCTATTTATACTGAACCACTTATGGTGTCCAATGCACATTACATGTTTTTCTAATTCCATTTTCACCTGTGGGTGCTATTTACTTTTTTTGAAATGCCCTTGTTTTTCACTTTTGTTTTTCAAACTTTTCCCGCTTTTTTCTTCTCTGGAAACATCCCCACCAGAGTACTCAGAGAAGTAGGCTTCTTGCCAAATGCCCCACCAGAAGACTATCCTGTGAACTATCCTGATTTCAGAGGACCAATATTGCCGCCAATTTATCCAATATATACCTTCATTATAGCATTAAGTACATTACATTACAATTATCTTTAGGTCTGTCTCCTACTGTTTTTTTGTTTTTTTTTTTTGTTTGTTTGTTTTGTTTTGTTTTGTTTTTGAGGCGGAGTTTCACTCTTGTTACCCAGGCTGGAGTGCAATGGCGCGATCTCGGCTCACCACAACCTCCGCCTCCTGGGTTCAGGCAATTCTCCTGCCTCAGCCTCCTGAGTAGCTGGGATTACAGGCACGTGCCACCATGCCCAGCTAATTTTTAGTATTTTTAGTAGAGACGGGGTTTCACCATGTTGACCAGGATGGTCTCGATCTCTTGACCTCATGATCCACCCGCCTCGGCCTCCCAAAGTGCTGGGATTACAGGCTTGAGCCACCGCGCCCGGCCCTCCTACTGTATTTTTTTTTTATCTAATCCATCTTTTGAATAAACAGCAGCTAGCTCTTTGCATAATGCATAGTGGATGCTCAGTTAAGTGCTTGTGGAATGAACAAATAAATGGATCTAACTTGTTCTAACAATATTCTTTTTTAATATCTATTTGGTGTCAAAAGACCAATTATATTTTTCTACTTGATTAAAACATTTTGAATAAATGAATATTTTATTTACTTGATCAGCTGTTTAGAGCAGGAGTATGTATGACATATGCATGCCATTAGTCAACACCTGTTCCCATTACCTTTCATCCAGATGAAATATTTTTATCCCCTAATTACATTCTCATTCCTAGATTATTTCTTTTCTAATCCATTTATAAATATCCCATTTAAAATTACATATATTCATAAACATTCAGCTTCCTCTTTACTATTCATAATTCCCATTTTCTCTTACAAACTTATCACTAATATATTTCAGATATTATCAAATGATAGTAATTTTTTAAATGTAAAATCTTTTTTTAAGAAATGCACATTTTAGGCTGGGCACAGTGGCTCACGCCTGTAATCCTAGCACTTTGGGAGGCCAAAGTGGGCAGATCACCTGAAGTCAGGGGTTCAAGACCAGCCTGGCCAACATGGTGAAATCCCATCTCTACTAAAAATGCAAGAATTAGCTGGGCATGGTGGCAGGCACCTATAATCCCAGCTACTTGAGATGCTGAGGTAGGAGAATGGCTTGAACCCAGGAGACAAAAGTTGCAGTGAGCTGAGATAGCACCACTGCACTCCATCCTGGGCGACAGAGCGAGACTCCATCTCAAAATAAATACATACATACATACATACATACATAAAAATGCAAATTTTAATATTCCCAACCACTCCTAAAATGTTGCTTATAGCTTGTGTATTTGGTGGTATCTTTTAGGAAAAAGCCAAAGTTGTAACATATGATTGTGGAAATGATATATTTAAAGAAGGTGATGAGCCCAAAGGAATCTATATCATTATTTCAGGCATGGTAAAGGTAAGGCAGAGTCTCATTTTGTTTGTTTGTATTTGATACGGAGTTTCTCTCTTGTTGCCTAAACTGTAGTGCAATGGCGTGATCCTGGCTCACTGCAACCTCTGCCTCCCAGGTTCAAGAGATTCTCCCACCTCAGCCTCCTGAGTAGCTGGGATTACAGGCATTCACCAACACACACAGCGAATTTTTGTATTTTTAGTAGAAATGGAGCCGGGCGCGGTGGCTCAAGCCTGTAATCCCAGCACTTTGGGAGGCTGAGGCGGGCGGATCCCGAGGTCAAGAGATCGAGACCATCCTGGTCAACATGGTGAAACCCCGTCTCTACTAAAAATACAAAAAATTAGGTGGGCATGGTGGCACGTGCCTGTAATCCCAGCTACTCAGGAGGCTGAGGCAGGAGAATTGCCTGAACCCAGGAGGCGGAGGTTGTGGTGAGCCGAGATCGCGCCATTGCACTCCAGCCTGGGTAACAAGAGCAAAACGCCGTGTCAAAAAAAAAAAAAAAAAAATGGAGTTTCACCAAGTTAGCCAGGCTGGTTTTGAACTCCTCACCTTAGGTGATCTGCCCACCTTAGCCTCCCTAAGTGCTGGGATTACAGTCATGAGCCACCATGCCCAGCCAGGCAGTTACTTATAAATGAACTTGTGATCATAAGTTTTTAAAGAAAACTTTATGAAATTGATAATTGTAGCTTTCTGTGTTAAGGACTGCATAGTTTCTTTTTTAGAACAGTGACTACCATCTAATGATAAATTTTCACGGTCAGACACAATGTATAACACTATCCATTATTTTTTAAGCCATACTTTCTCACAGATAATAGGAACCTATCAAAAGAATTATCTTTCACAATGGACAATTTTAATATAAATTGTTATTCATCTTATGCTGATCTAAGTTAGAGATTTAGCCATTCTAAAATGGGTATAGATTAACTGAGTAAGAGAAATCAGAAAGATCAGAGTATTTAAGAATGCTTGGTGCCTAAATCATTGCCAATTTAATAATTTTACTTAAAAAGAAATAAAATATTCAAGACAATAAGTATTAGAATTGTTAAAACCAAAGTGGAAAAAGTCATAATTAGATAGTTTTGGTAATACAAGTTAACTGACAAATGTATTTTTCTCTTTCTTTGCTCCTTAACAGCTTGAAAGATCAAAGCCAGGTTTGGGGATTGATGAAATGTTGGAGTCAGAGGAGAAAGATTATCTGATAATTGACTATGCGCTCAGTGGGGAAATATTAGGAGAGATAAGCTGCTTAACTAATGAACCTATGAAATATTCTGCCACCTGCAAAACTGTAGTGGAGGTCAGAAAAACTTCACTTGTGACTTTTCTTGTATTTGTTAACTATCTAATATCAGATTTAAGGTATTTTAGTATTTAGTATAAGTTTACAGTCTGGTTGACAATTTATTTTTAAAAACTAGGAATAATAAAGGAACAAAACTTGCTGAATGATACTCATCTAGTATAAAGACCTGGCAAAACAGCTTATAAATGTTAATCAACCATAAAGAAAGGAGGATTTATCCAGAAAAACTGGTTATATAATCTCTTTTCATGAAATTGGCTGGCATATGTTAACTGTCAGTACCATAATTTGAAAGATGAGAAAGGGGATAAAGACAGAGCTAGAATCTATTAATATAAAAGTTGGGCAAAGTGCATGGAAGTTTCTCTACACATGATTGAGAACAAAATCCTCACAGTACCAAGGGCTCCCACAGACTTAATTTGAACTCAGCTGAGAGACCAGAAAGAATAAACCTTAGGAGTAAGAATTATGACCTAGAAGAAAGCTTGCTCTTACTCTAAGCCTTGGAGCAAGCACTGACATCATCCATGGTGGAGACAGAGTTTGGAGGTTAGGAGCCACCAAGTTACATATATCTAAGGTTTCTACTGATTCACTCAAGCAGATCGCAAAACCCAGCCTATGCAAGCTCAGTGTGATCAGATAGTAAATGAACTGCCTACTATAACAAAAATTAACTATTTTCAGAGCAAGATAAAATTATCTAGACTCTCTGTAGTGCTATCACGAGCAACCATAAATTATAAAAAAGCAAACAAGCATGAAATTGTGATCTATAGTATAAAAGGTGAGAAGTAAAGCACTGAGTAAAAACCATCATGGAGATTGCCCAGACTATAGATTGGTCAGACTTTTTTTTTTTTTTTTTTTTTTTGAGATGGAGTTTCACTCTTGTTACCCAGGCTAGAGTGCAATGGTGCGATCTTGGCTCACCGCAACCTCCGCCTCCTGGGTTCAGGCAATTCTCCTGCCTCAGCCTCCTGAGTAGCTGGGATTACAGGCATGCACCACCATGCCCAGCTAATTTTTTTGTATTTTTAGTAGAGACGAGGTTTCACCATGTTGACCAGGATGGTCTCGATCTCTTGACCTCGTGATCCACCCGCCTCGGCCTCCCAAAGTGCTGGGTTTACAGGCTTGAGCCACCGCGCCGGCTAGTCAAAGACTTTAAACCAGTTGTTAAAAATTGATTCTGGGTCGGGCGCGGTGGCTCAAGCCTGTAATCCCAGCACTTTGGGAGGCCAAGGCGGGTGGATCACGAGGTCGAGAGATCGAGACCATCCTGGTCAACATGGTGAAACCCCGTCTCTACTAAAAGTGCAAAAAATTAGCTGGGCATGGTGGCGCGTGCCTGTAATCCCAGCTACTCAGGAGGCTGAGGCAGGAGAATTGCCTGAGCCCAGGAGGCGGAGGTTGCGGTGAGCCGAGATCGCGCCATTGCACTCCAGCCTGGGTAACAAGAGTGAAACTCTGTCTCAAAAAAAAAAAAAAAAAAAAAAAAATTGATTCTGGTGAAAGGTGGCCAAAATGCCTGACTAGAAGCAGCTGGTATGTGCCACTCACAGAGAAGAATGGAAGGGGCAAGTAAATACAGCACTTACGAATGAAACATCCAGGTACACACATTGGGACTAATCAAGGAAACAACTCAGAGAACAGAGAAAAGCAAGGCAGAATGACTACCCACCTGGGAGCGACACACAGTCAGGGGAGCCTCCCCTGCCCAGGGAAGTGGTGGGTGAATAGGCAAACCCGGGAACCCATGCTTCTCCCATGGATCTTTGCAACCCTCCAGTCAGGAGATCCCCTCATGGACCCACTCCACTAGGGCCTTTGGTCTGACATGCAGAGTTATGTGGAGTCTGGAAGAGCAGCCACTCAGTCACATGTGGAGCCCCAGGAGCCTTAAATACCCAGGCCTCCCGGCAAAAGCAGCTGCAACCCTGAGCAGGAGGTTAGATCCCCACACCTCCTCGGAAAGGGACTGAATCCAGGGGGCTCTTCCATGGTACCTCACAGGGTAAGACCCACTGGCTTGAAACTCCAGCCAGCCATGGGTAGCAGCATTGCATCTCCCTGAGGAAGAGCTCCCAGCAGGTGAGGCGGGCCACCATCTTTGCTGTTTCACAGCCTCAGCCACTGTTGCCTTAGGGCTCTAGTGAATTGGTGGCAACTAGGGACTAGAGCAGCCCCCCAGCACAGCCCAGCAGTTCTGTGGAGAAGCAGCCAGACTTCTTATTCATGGAGATCCTAAATCCCAGTTCTCCTGGTGAGGAAATACGGAAACAAGCCCCCAAGTAACAGTCTGGCCACTTTTCCGTATGGCTGAATCAGTGGCAACTAGAATCTCCCAACCGGGTCCTCCAATCATCCCTGCTGGTGTTGGCCGACTGAGTTTCAAACCTCCCTGGTACAGAGCTCCCAGAGGGAGGGTAGATCGTCATCTTTACTATTTGGTTGACTTAGCTGTTCTTGCCTTTGGACTTTGAAGAATCCAAGGCAACTGGAGGCTAGAATGGGCCCCTAGCACAGCACAGCTGCTCTATGAAAACAGGGTCAGAGTGTTACTTTAAGTGCGTCTCTGATCCCATTCCTTTACACTGGGTGAGACCTGACCAGGATCTCCAGCTACCTCCTACAGGTGTGTTCAGGTTGGTTTGTATCTCCCTGGGGCAGGGCTCCCATTTTTGCTGTTTCCCATCCTCCACTCACTGTTGTTACCTTCAGGCACTAGAAAATCCAAGGTGACTAGGGACTGGAGCGGACCCCCAGGATATCGCAACAGCCATACGGAAAAGTGGCTAGACTGTTACTTGGGGGCTTGTTTCCGTATCTCCTCACCAGGCAGGTCCTCCAGGCCTGGGCCTCCAGGCACCCACTGTCAAGGCCACAGAGCCAGTTGCAGCTCTGCAACTCCCTAAACAGAGCTCCCAGTGGGAGGGGGGTTGCCATCCTTGCTGTCTTGCAGCCCTTGCCCTTGCTGTCTGCAGGATCCAGAGAGTCTGTGGAGCCAGAGGCTGGTCTGTACCCCAGCAAAGGGCAACCACCTCACAGAAAAGTGGCCAGACTGTTCTCTATGCAGATCCTGATCCTCACTGTTCCTCACTGGGCAGGGCCACTGACCTGGGACTCTTCGCAATCAAAGACAGCCCAGCATTTCTTCAAGGAGGAAATCACAGAGTCAGCTCACAACCCCTCCACCACTACAGGTTCAGTGGCTCAGCCCTTAACAGCCCTGAGACTGGAAAGAAACAAAGGACCTAGTCATTATGCTGGCACCTCCAGCACAGCCACCATATGAAGAGGAGTTAACACCCTCTTCCCTAGGAACCACCACCCCTGCTCTTCACCAGGCAGGGTCCTGGGCTCATGAAAGTAGAACAGTTGCTCCACTCACAACTGAGCATACCTACTGGTAGTGGCCCAGAGTTTCCCCAGGGAGCAGCTCCTAGAGGCATACGACAGCACCCCCCTGCTCTTGGCCCCGCCACTGCCACAGTAACAGTTGTATCCCTTCCCTTCATCTGGGGAAGAAACAAAGAGCCTGAGGGCTACACCTAAGCTTACGCATGCCACAGCTACCAGACAGAGGAAAGACCAATCTCTCCTCCCTGTGAGCTTTTGACCCCGATTCCCACCAAGCAAAACCCCAAGGTCATGAAAAGAGTATACACAACTCACCCCTCCAGCTGAACACTACCAGTGACAGCAGCTCCACATTTCATGGAGGTAGAGCCTCCTAGGGGCAACAACTTATAGAATGGAAGAAAATGCTTGCAAACCTACACATCTGACAAAGGTTTATAAGCCAGAATCTCTAAGAAACATAACAAGCAAAAAACAACCCCATTAAGAAGTGGGCAAACCATATGAACAGACACTTTTCAAAAGACATACATGTGGCCATCAGCATATGAAAAAATGCTAATGATTACTAACCATTTATATTTGAAATACAAATCAAAACCGCAGTGAGATACCTTCTCACACCAGTCAGAATGGCTATCATTAAAAAGCCCAAAATAACAGATGCTAGTGAGGTTGTGGAGAACAGAGAATGCTTATACACTGCTGATGGAAATATAAATTAGTTCATCCATTGAGGAAAGATTGTTGGCAGTTTCTAAAAGAACTTAAAACGGAATTACCTTTCAGTCTAGAAATCTAATTATTGAGTATATACAGAAAGGTATATAAATCATTCTACTATAAAAACACAGGTATGTGTATGTTCTTTCCAGCACTATTCACAATAGCAAACACATAGAATCAACCTAAATGCCCATCAACAGTAGACTAGATAAAGAAAAACAGTAGACTAGATAAACACCATGGGATAATATGCAACCGTAAAAAAATAAGATCATGTCCTTTACAGCAACACAGATGGAGGTAGAGACCATTATCCTTAGCAAACAAACACAGGAACAGAAAAGCAAATACTGAATGTTCTCACTGACAAATGGGAGCTAAACTTTTAGTACATATGGACACAAAAAAAAAGTAGCAAGAGACACAGTCTACTTGAGAATGGAGTATAGGAGGAGGGTGAGGATCATAAAACTACATATTATGTACTATTATGCTTATTACCTGGATGATGAAATAATCCATACACCAGATATCTGTGAAATGTGATTTACATATAATAAACCTGCACCCGTATCCCCAAACCTAAATGAAAAACATTTTTAAAAAGCACAAACATGTCAAAATTTACTTAAGGACTAGATTTTTTTAGTAGTACTATACATATTAAGATTTTGGAATTTGTATCCTTCCCACAAAAACAACTCCATGCCAGATGGTTTTACTGATTAGTTTTATCAAATGTTTCAGGAAGAAATAATATGAATCTTACACAAACAGAGGAGGAAAAAATGCTTTTCAGTGCATTTTATGGGGCCAATGTAAACAAATACTAAATCTCGAAAAAGCATTTCAGCAAAAGAAAATTACAGACCAATATCCCACATTAACATGGATACAAAAAATCATTAAGATAGCAAGTTAAATCCAGAAATATATTAAAAATATTAGACATCAAGACTAAATAAATAGGCTTTATTTTAGGAATATAAGATTGATTTGACATTTGAAAATCAACCATTGTGATTCAACACATTATAAGAAAAAAGCAGAAAATTTGTATAAGATATTCAAGTAGATACAGAACAAAAAGAATGTTACATTAAAAATCTCCAAAAACTCAGAATAGAATGCAACCTCCTGAACTCAATAAAGGGCATTTATTATAAATTTACAGCTATCATCACATCTAGTGGTGAAAAACTAAGATTATAAGACTGAGAGCAAAACAGGAATGTCCACTCTCACCACTTCTGTTTAGTATTATGTTGGAGTTGTTAGCTAGTACAATGGGGCTAGAAAAAGAAAGAAACGGACATAAAAATTACAAAGAAAGCACTAAAATTGTCTCTGCAGGATGACATGATAGCTACATTTTCAAGATTCTATCAAAAGGAAAACAACCAAAAGGATTCTACCAAAAGGAATTTATAATGAATTTGGTAAGGTGGCAAGATACAAGTCCAAATTCCAAAAATTAATTATGTTTTCATATATTAGTAACAAGCAATTGTAAACAAAAAATTTCATTATTTTTACAAAATAATATGAAAGGGCTAGGCATAAAGTTAATGAAATATGTGGACTAACTCTACGATAAAAACTATACACTATTTCCTAGATAACTGAGAAAAAGATTAAATAAACCAAATACCATATTTGTGGATTAGAGGCTGTAATATTATTAAGATATCCATTCTTCCCAAATTGATCTATAGATTTAATACAATCTCAATCAAAATCTTAGACTTTTTTTGTAAAATTTATATAAAAATGCAGAGGAAGGCCAGGCGCGGTGGCTCAAGCCTGTAATCCCAGCACTTTCGGAGGCCGAGGTGGGTGGATCACGAGGTCAAGAGATCGAGACCATCCTGGTCCACGTGGTGAAACCCTGTCCCTACTAAAAATACAAAAAAAAAATTAGCTGGGCATGGTGGCGCGTGCCTGTAGTCCCAGCTACTCAGGAGGCTGAGGCAGGAGAATTGCCTGAACCCAGGAGGCGGAGGTTGCGGTGAGCCGAGATCGCGCCATTGCACTCCAGCCTGGGTAACAAGAGCGAAACTCCGTCTCAAAAAATAAATAAATAATAATAAAAATAAAAATGCAGAGGACCTATAATTGACAAAACAGATATAAAAAAGAATGTTAGACTATTTACACTACCTGATTTAAAGGCATATATCCAATGTAATTAAGGCCACATGGTGTTGGCTTTAGGTTAAGATGTAGAGATCAATGCAACAGAAAAGAGAATCTATAAAGAAATCCACACATACATAGTCAATTGATTTTTGACAAAGGATCGAATTATCTCAGTGGAAAAATTACAGTATTTTCAACGACTAACCCTGAAAATAAACCTGAAGATTTCAGGGTTATTCATTGAAAATATTGTAATTTTTCCATGAATACTGAATATTCGTGTAGAATCAATGAACCTTGATCCCCATGTACTAGGCCCAAAACATAATGTGGCATTATCATACACTTAAAATGAAAGGCAGAACTGTATAAATTACAGAAGAAAACATAGGAGATCTTAAGGTAGGCAAAGATTTCTTAGCCAGCATTTTTTAAAGTACTAACCATAAAAGGAAATATTGATAAATTGGATGTCACCAAAATTAAAAATCATCTGCTCTTTAAAAGACATCACAAAAAAAAAAATATGAACAACAGGCTCAGGGAAAAATATGAGCAACAGGCTGAGGGACTTTTCAAAAGTTCCCCAACAGAAGGACTTGGTAAAAGTATATATAAAAAACTCATACAACTCAAAAGTAAGAAGACAAACTACTGGCCGGGCGCAGTGGCTCACGCCTGTAATCCCAACACTTTGGGAGGCCGAGGCGGGTGGATCACGAGGTCAAGAGATCGAGGCCATCCTGGTCAACATAGTGAAACCCTGTCTCTACTAAAATACAAAAATTAGCTGGGCATGGTGGCGCGTGCCTGTAGTCCCAGCTACTCGGGAGGCTGAGGCAGGAGAATTGCCTGAACCCAGGAGGTAGAGGTTGCAGTGAGCCGAGATCGTGCCATTGCACTCCAGCCTGGGTAACAAGAGCGAAACTCCGTCTCAAAAAAAAAAAAAAAAAAAAAAAAAAAAAAAAAAAGAAGACAAACTACTGAATTAAAAACTGGGCGAAGAATGTGAACAGACACTTTACAAAGAATATACAAATGGCCAATAAACACATGAAGATGTTCACCATCATTAGAAACCACTAGAAACATGCAAGTTAAACCAACAGTGGTATGTCAATACACACCTACCACATTGCCTAAAAATAAAAACAATGAATCCCAAGTATTGGCAAGGAAATGGAGCAACTGAAATTTTCTCTTTTTTCTTTCTTTCTTTTAGAGACAGGCTCACTCTGTTGCCCAGGCTGGAGTGCAGTGGCATGATTTCAGCTCACAGTAACTTCTGCAGGATTCAAGTGATTCTCCTGCCTCAGCCTCCCAAGTAGCTAGGTTTACAGGTGCACACTACCATGCCCAGCTAATTGTTGTGTTTTTAGTAGAGACAAGGTTTTACCATGTTGGCCAGGCTGGTCTCGAACTCCTACCTCAAGTGATCCACCCACCTCAGCCACCCAAAGTGCTGGGATTACAGGCGTGAGCCACTGCACCTAACTGAAATTTTCATACATGGCTGATGAGAGAGTAAAATGTTGAAACAACTTCTGAAACAGTTATTTTAATTTGAACAGTGGTTTTGGTCTGAAACAGTTTGTCAGTTGCTTACAAAAGTTAAATATAGTATGTCCTATATTACACAACTATCCCACTTGCAGATACTTACCCAAGAGAAATAAAATCCAATGTACAGAAAACTTGTTTTGACTGTTCATAGCTGTTTTTAGTAACAAATGTCTGTTCATTTTTAGCATAAGCATTTTATTTTTGCCTAAAAAGTTTGCTCCCCTCAAATAGCGTATTTATGAAGGCATATATTTATCTATAAAATGCAAATAATTTTTAGTAATTTTTTATTTTATAAAAAAAAGTGTAAATCAAACATCTGATAATGGGTTTGTATCTAAAATATGTAAAGAACTCAACAGCAAGAAAATAAATAATGCAATTAAAAATAAGCAAAGGATCTGAATAGACGTTTCTCAAAAGAAGACCATAAAAATAGCCAACAGGCATATAAAAAATGTTCAAAATCATTAATCATCAGAAAAATGCACATTAAAACTACAATGAGATATCATCTTACACTAGTCAGAAAGGCTATTTGAGTTTCTTGTAAATTCTGGACATTAGGCCATTGTCAGATGCATAGTTTGCAAATATTTTCTCACATTCTGCAGGTTTTTTGTTTCTCCCAGTGAGCAAATTTCCTGTTCACTTGATTATTTTTGTGGTACAGAAGTTATTTAGTTCAATTATACTACATTTGTCTATTTTTGTTCTTGCTGTCTGTGCTTTTGAGGTTTTAGTCATGAATTCTTTGCCTACACCAATGTCCAGAAGAGTTTTCTCTAGGTTTTCTTCCACTATATTTATAGCTTGGGGTCTTAACATTTAAGTCTTTAAATGTTAGAATATTAATTCTAACATCTTAAGAATTAATATTGTTAAAATGACCACACTGCCCAAAGTAATCTATAGATTGAATGCAATATCTATCAAAATGCCATGATTATTCACAGAATTAGAAAAAAAAAAAAAAAACCTAAAATTCATATGGAACCAAAAAAGAGCTCAAACATCCTAAGCAAAAAGAACAAAACTGGGGGAATGACATCACCTAACTTCAAATTATACTATAAAGATAGAATAATCAAAACAGCATGATACTAGTTTAAAAATACATACATAGATCAATGGAACAGAATATTAAAACCCAGAAATAAAGCCACATTTTACAGCCGACTGATCTTTTACAAAGTCAACAAGAACACAGGGAAAGGACATACCAATTTTCATTGATAGACACAGTTTATTAAGTTTCTAGGCTATTATGTGAATCTTACCTAATTAAATTATTAGCTTTAATGGTGTACATAAACAAAAAAACCTTATTCCTTAAACCATAAGCGCACAAAATACCAAATTTTATCCTTCTTTTCCAGACATATTTTATTCCCAAAACTCACTTGTATGATGCTTTTGAGCAATGTTCTCCTCTCATTGAACATAAAATGTGGGTAAAAATTGGACTCATTATTACAGCCAGAAAAATCAGAGAACATTTGTCTTACGAGGTAGGAAGTGCTTGTATAAACTTGTCTTTCTTTGCATGGAATGGCATTAAAACATTATAATTGACCATTTATGAATATATATTAAACTTCATAAACTAATAGACTATGAAATTGTTTTTTAAAACAGGATTGGAACTACGAGATGCAACTTAAACTCTCTGATATTTATTTAGAAGATATACCAAAGAGCACCAAAACTGATATCTGTGATGAAAATTTAATCTATGTTATCCTCATACATGGAGCTGTAGAAGATTGTCAGTTAAGAAAAATTTATAGGGCACCTTTCTTAATTCCTACCACATGCCATCAGGTAAAGAAATATTGATTCTTGTCTTCAGGTCAATGTGCCATATGTCCAACAATATATTAACATTAGAAAAGCTGTCATGATGATCTTAAGCTTTTCACCTTCCAATCTTCTTCCTTCTCCCACCACTCCATAAACACTCACATGCACACTTGCACCCACATACACACACACACACCAAGTTCACTGATTGCTTTGGCACTTGCTAGCCCAATCACAAACTATTCCCATCCAAAGCCTATGAACAAGGCCAAGCTGGACATTTTGGCTACAATTAGATGTTGGTACAGTTATTCACTGCAAAAGATGGTGCATTTGTTTTACTCACATGTTGCAGAAAAACTGTATCAGCAATGCTCTAGAAAGGTCCTGCCAGACTGATGCTGAATTATTAGTAGTGTTTCCACAGCTACTTTGAAAGTGATTGTCTTCTCGTGTTTAAACTGTTGAGTGTCCCTGCCAATCAAAATGGGAACCTGAGCAATGTGAAGAAGGAAAGAAGACTTCGTGTGTGTGTGTGTGTGTGTGTGTGTGCGCGTGTGTGTGTGTGTGTATTGTGTTGGGGGAGAATCAGAGAGGCACATGTCAAAAGGAATCGGGACACAAAAGATACAGCTACAAAAAGTAAATTCAAAGAGGACTCAGTTATGTAAAATATGCTTAGATATATTTAAGCAACTAATATATGGCAGAAATAGTGCTATATATTGAAATGATAAAGAAAAATGATACATACAACCTATCCTCAAGAGATCTCTCAACCAAGTGGAAAGAAACAAGTAATATATTAATAAAATGTTTTACAGCTAGGATGAAAGTACTTACAGGGTAGATTTTGGACACAAGAAAAAAGTGAAATGGAGATTTTTCCCAAGGTGAAAAATTATCACAAGAAAATTTTCTAAGTGGACATCGTCAGCACTGACATAATGCTTAATGACAGGAAGTGAAACATTCTCCACTATGCTGCTCCCTGCCTCTATCCTTGAACACATAACAGATTTGGTGTGAGTGCTTGTTGAGAATTTAGACAGCCAAGCGAGAGCCTGAAGGCTGATAAACTCTCTACTTCCCTAGACATAGAGCCCTACTCGTTGTGGATTTGGGTACCAACGTGATTCAAATTATGTTGAAAACAACCACAAGGTGGAAGAATATTTTGAAATATTTCTATACGGCAGAAAGAAAGTTTAATGAAAAGAACATTTTCAAACACTCTTTTCATTAAACTTTCTGCCATGTAGAAAAAAAAATTCTCTGGTTGATTTTTAAAGGACCATTGGTGATTTCCTTCCTGCCTTCCCTTCCTTCCCTTCCCTTCCCTTCCTTCCTTCCCTTCCTTCCCTTCCTTCCCTTCCCTTCCTTCCCTTCCCTTCCTTCCCTTCCCTTCCTGCCCTTCCCTTCCTTCTCTTCCCTTCCTTCCCTTCCCTTCCCTTCCTTCCCTTCCCTTCCTTCCCTTCCCTTCCCTTCCTTTCCTTCCCTTCCTTCCCTTCCCTTCCTTCTCTTCCCTTCCTTCCCTTCCCTTCCTTCCCTTCCTTCCTCCTTCCTTCCCTCCCTCTCTTCCTCCCTTCCTTCCTTCTTCCCTCCCTCCCTCCTTCCATCCTTCCCTCCTTACCTTTATCTTTCTTTCATGGAGTCTCACTCTGTTGCCAGGCTGGAGTGCAATGACACAATCACAGCTCACTGCAACCTCCACCTCCCGGGTTCAGGTGATTCTCCTGCCTCAGCCTCCTGAGTAGCTGGGACTACAGGCACGCACCACCATACTCAGCTAATTTTTGTATTTTTAGTAGAGACGGTTTCACCATGTTGGCCAGGATAGTCTCAATCTCTTGACCTCGTGATCCACCTGCCTCAGCCTCCTAAAGTGCTGGGATTATAGCCATGAGCCATCACGCCCAGCCTGGTGATTCATTCTTAATTATTTTATTCCATATGGAATAGAAATATTTAAAATGCAATGAATGTATATGGAATATTGACTCACAAAACCAACATATCCAGGTATTTTAAGATACCAATCATATTTTTGTTGATTTTTAATATTTCCCATTTCCCCCAGATAGAGAAAGCCAGAAATTTAGCTTACTAGAGAAATTTTTAATTGTAAAATTATTTGCTCAGAAATTAATCTGCATTCTGTCAACTTTCAGATACAAGGTACAGAAGATTTCACAAAAGTCATGATTATTCAAAGTTCAATTAATATGAAACCAAGCAGTTGGACTACTACAAAGTTTATTCCTAAACATAAAACTTCTCTTCTACCAGAATTACGTGAGTTAGATTTCTTTGAGCAATTGTGAAAACTTACTTTCCCTTTATGAAATAGCCAGTATGTGTATTTGGAAACTGTTTTTTGCATTCTGCCTAATATATTGAGGAATCCTTTCATATTTGCTATTCAATGTATGAGGTCAGACACACAATACTGAAGTTATACTTTTAAATTATTATTATGTATTTCATCCATAAGAAAACTGCATAATTATCAAAACAATATTAAAAAAAGATTAATGAGGAAATTACTAGCTCTTCCCCAAAATTAAGATATGTTATATAGCAGTAATAATAAAAACAGCATTGTAGTGTCTGACCAACAAACATAAATCACTTAAACTAGATAAGTAACTTTGATATAAAGCCTATTTTTCATACAAATTTTAATAGATAAAACTTTAGTCACAACATACGATTATTTAATCACTACTATTAAGCCCTTGATTAAAATTTGATAAATACATTTAAGATAAATTTTAAAATTGAATAGTAAAGAATTATTGAATAAGTAATAATAGAATTTAATCGATTAATTCACTAAAGGAGAAATACTGTTCAAAATTTAGAAATACAGAAATTAATTTTAAAATCTTGAGTCTATAAAAATATCACCAATCAAGAGATAAACCAAAGACAATTGACAGATGAAAACTTGCATTGAAAATACAATGTGGAAAATGTTTAATGTTGGTAATATTTACAGAAACAAATTATATATTTGGTAGATTTAATTTGTGAAATTTTGTAAGATATAATACCTCTCAACCAAAAGAAATGTAGTGAATCTGATATATATTCTTATTTATTAATAGCAGTGTAAACTGAGAAAGTAAATTTATCAGATTTCAAAAGCCATAAAAGTGTTTATATCCTTTGATTAATATATCTAAATATTTAGATAAATATGTCTAAATGTTTATCCTAAAGATATAAAGCAAAAAAAGAAAATTATAATTGAGCATTATTTATTAAAATAAAACATAAGAAATAATCAAAATGTAGGCCGGGCACAGTGGCTCCAGCCTGTAATCCCAGCACTTTGGGAGGCCAAGGCTGGGTGGATCACGAGGTCAAGAGATCGAGACCATCCTGGTCAACATGGTGAAACCCCGTCTCTAGTAAAAATACAAAAAATTAGCTAGGCATGGTGGTGCGTGCCTGTAATCTCAGCTACTCAGGAGGTTGAGGCAGGAGAATTGCCTGAACCCAGGAGGCGGAGGTTGCGGTGAGCCGAGATCGCGCCATTGCACTCCAGCCTGGGCAACAAGAGCGAAACTCAGTCTCAAAAAAAAAAAAAAAAAAGAAAAGAAAAGAAAAGAAAGAAATAATCAAAATGTATAAAGATAAATGAATGGTTAATTAAATCAATATAATGTCAACATGATTGACTGTTATATAAGCATTAAAAATTTGACTTTCCATATCATAATTTTTGAAAAACCAGTGATACAAGGGAGTAAATAGCAGACACTGGGGTCTACTTGAGCGGGGAGGATGGGAGAAGGAGAGGAGCAGAAAAACTATTAGGTACTAGGCTGAATACTGGGGTGATGAAGTAATATATACAAAAACTTCTGTGAGAATGTGTTTACCTATGTAACAAACCCTTCACATGTACCCGCAAATCTAAACAAAAAGTTAAAGAAAAACTAGTGATATATGTCAAGTAAAAATACCCGGAATATAACATTATATCACTAGTTTAAATGAATTTAATCTTTATTATGTATAATCATATAATTTTGCATCTATGTAGACACAAATACTGTCATTGTATGGGTCTCCACTAACCTTAAGATTAAGCATATACAGAGTGGCATAACCAAGACAATGGAATAGAAGGTAATCTATTCATATATTCCACAACAATAACAAAAAATTCTACACCTATACATGTTCCAAAGCCTCTCTGCAGGAGCCTCAAAATTTAGGTAGGAGTTTGTGAATTCTTCATGTAGCTCACGACCTAGGAGCATCATTCTAAGAATGCAGATTGACTCTAGGTAGCTGATACTACAAGCTTGCTCCCACATTCAAGTCCTGAAATTGTCCTGTCCTACAAGGGGTTTGTCTCCTTCTTCATTTGGTCTTGAGCCTGCAACCAAAACCATCTGCCAAGGGATCCAAGAGGTATCATGCAGTACTAGTGACTTGGCAGAGAAACTCATCTTCCTGCTGACATCTATCTCAGTGGCAAACCTGAATGTTTCCCTGTGGCTTGGCTTCAGCCACTCTCAGCTGAGATCCCAGCTCAGAGCTGCTCATACAATGATCCAGAGGGAGAATCACCCATATCACACAGCCTGGGAGTCTGAGCCTCCCTGACAGGATTGTCAACCTCCAACTCACAGCAGATCCTGATGGCACCAAGTCTCAGGTCTGGCTCCTCCTAGTGCAATCAGTAAACTATCCCATCTGTGCTGAGACCTGCAAGGCATGCCCCTCTGAAGCATTAAGACTCTCTAGCCTCTGTCCCACAGCAGATCCCAAATCAACCCAATCTTAGCTCCAGGCCTTCCTGCTGCAGTCAGGGAACTATCCCATCTGTGCAGGGACATACTAGGAGATACAGACCTATCTAAGCTGATGTGACAGGCATGCCAGCCTCCATCTCACAGCAGATCCTCAGAGGGCTCTGTCTCAACTTTGTCCCTTCCTGCTGCATCAGGGAGCTATCCTATCTTTGCTGGGTAATATGCACTCCTCTGAAGCAAGACTGAGCTCTTCTGCCTGTCCCACAGCAGATCCTGAGGGGACACTCTCAGCTCTGGCTTCTCCAGCTACAATCAAGGAACTGCTTACGCAGGGACCTGCTGGGTGATGTATGCCCATCTAGGCCAACAGTACAGGCCCGTAAGCCTCTTTTCTCTGGCAGATCCCAAGGTGGCCCAGCCTCAACTTCAACCCCTCTCACTGCAGTCGGGGACCCAACATACCCATGTAGAGATGGGCAGGGACTCACACCCATCTAGTCCATTGGGACAGTCTTCTGGACTCAGATTCCAGACCAGCACTCCCTCACAACCTCAGGACCTTCCTGAGGTCTTCCCCAGGTCCATCTGGGCCTTAAAACCACATCAACTTTGAAGTCCTTGTGGGAATCATGTTAAGCCTGGACTTAGAGCATCCTCTAGTGCTGAGAGGGCTGCAGTGGTCACAGATTCAGGTAACTAAACAGGTCTGCCAGAATCCATGGAAGGCTCTCCAGAGACAGACAGGGACAGGCAAAGGCAACCTGTGGAGACTAACATAAATAATCCCTCAATGCACATGTTCACAATTATCAAGAATATTTAGAGAAATATGACCTCACCAAATGCACAAAATAAGGTGTCAGAGACCAACTCTAAAGTGAGAGACGTGATCTCTCAAAGAATTTTTAAAAAAATGTTTCAAGTTTCTGAACTTCAAGAAAACACAGAATGAATTCAGAAATTTATCCATGAAATTTAACAGACATCAAAATTGTAAAAAATCAAACAAATCCTAAGGCTGAAAAATAAATGTAATTAATGAAATTTAAAAAATGAAATCGCATCAACAGCAGAATTGATCAAACGGAAGAAGGAATCTGAACTCAAAGACAATCTAGTTGAAAATACAGTGAGAGGAGGAAAAGAATAAAAATGAATAAAGAAGTCTTACAATATGTAGGTGACAGTATCAACAGAGCAGCTATTTGGGTTATTGAAGTTAAGGGAACTGAGAAAGAAAAAAATGTATAAAACTTGTTTTAATAAGTAATAACGGAAAAGTTTACAATCCTGGACAAGGAGATAAATATCTAGACACAAAAAGATTAAAAGTCCTCAATCAGATTTAACTCAAATAAGAATACACCAAGACATAATTACATACTCAAAAGTCAATGATAAAGGAAAAGGGATTTTTGAGCAAAAGCAATAAGAGAAAAAAGAAGGAAATAATATGTAAGGAACATCCAATAGGCCTGGTAGCAGACTTCTCAACAGAAACCTTACAGGCCAGGAGGAGTAGAAAGATATATTCAATGCTAGATTTCAGAAAGAAAGGATAAATAATGACTTTCTCAAACAAACAAACAAAAAAAGTTGAGGAGATTTGTCACTACCAGACTTGTTCTATAGGAAATGCTAAAGGGAATTCTTCAAATGGAAAGAAAATGATATCAATGTGACGGTTATACTAATATGGTAATCATGGTATGTGAATCACTTATATCCCTACTAAGAAGACTAAAAGACAAAATATTTAAAATAATACTAACTACAACAATTTTAAAGAGATAAGTAATGTAAAAAAGCATATTGTGACATTAAAAATCAAAATATCGGGTAAGAAGGGAATTAATGTATACAGATGTTTTTGTGTGTTTGTTTCTTTTTTTTTTTTTTCCAAAAGTTGGTATTGGTTTTAAATAACTTACTTAAAATATACAACCAGGAAAAAATACCACAATGGAAGATAGTAAGAAAGAAAGAATAGTTGTAAAACAACTAAACAACTAGAAAACAAGTAAGACAATGGCAGTAGTTAAGTCCTTACCTATTAGTAGTAACAATGAATGCAAATAAACTACATTCTCCAATTAAAAGACAAAGCATGGCTTAATAAATTAAAAAAACAAAACCCAACTATATGCTGCCTATGAGAAGAACTCTTTGCCTATGAAGATACATGTACACTGAAAATAAGGGGATAGAATAAAATATCCTATGCAAATGGAAACCAAAGAAGAAGAATAGCTATACTTATATAAAACGGACCTTAAATCAAAACCTTTAAAAAAAGAGCAAAAAAGGCCGGGCGCGGTGGCTCAAGCCTGTAATCCCAGCACTTTGGGAGGCCGAGGTGGGTGGATCACTAGGTCGAGAGATCGAGACCAACCTGGTCAACATGGTGAAACCCCGTCTCTACTAAAAATACAAAAAATTAGCTGGGCATGGTGGCGTGTGCCTATAATCCCAGCTACTCAGGAGGCTGAGGCAGGAGAATTGCCTGAACCCAGGAGGCGGAGG